TAACTGTGTCATACCACAAGTAACTATAAGCTGCATGGCTAGGAAGTGTCACCACTTTGAACTGTGTCTTATTTGCTTAAGGAAAATCAGGAATAGACTCAGGACTCTATGGAAAAGCACTCATTAAGCTCACAGAGGGATGTGCTCACTGGACCTCTTCTCTCTGCAATGCTGTAAATTTCCAGAGTTGGTTTGGGTTCCTTATGGTAGAAACATTTGGCCTTAGAGGTGAACTTAGTGTACTAAATAAATTATTTAGTCCCCTCAAAAATACTTCAGGATGAAATAATAATGCCTTCTCCCCCCAGAGAGATTCACTATTGAATGAGTTTGCATGTCAGTCATCTCGCTTTGCTTCCACAATGGCCCCAGGAGAAGCTCAGGCCAGGTACTCGCGTCTGCCTTTCCTCAAAGCAGAAACAGACTCAAGGCAGAGGGCCCAGGCACCAGGCTCTTTCAAGCAGAGAGAGTCCCTCTGGGAGTCATCCACAGCACCTCAACTTCAATGCAAAAAACTCTTTTCTTCGTCAAATTTGTTTATCTTATTTACATAGCACCTTATTAAAAACAACTGAATTGTCATTTTTTCTTTTTGTAAGAAATCAGAAAAGGCTTGATTTTCTGATGTGAATAAAGTTAAAAACAAAAAGACAGACTGCCCTGCCACATCTCTGTAATGTCTACTTAGAAAACTGCCACAAATGTACAGCTTCATTTCCAAGCAGTGGAGAGGCAGAAATAGGAAATGGGTCAAAAAATTCCAAAAGAAAGAGTCTAATCAGAAATTTTCCTCTTTTAAATTCTCTATCATTAAATACATATTTCAACAGAGATGAATTAATACAGAACTGGATTCTTTGAGGAGGGTAATGCCATGATAAAAACCACTGTCAGGCAGCTGGCAATGCAAAAAATCTACTTTATGCACTGTGTGGTATTTGGTGAAATCTTCCCCCATCACCTGAAGACAGGCCATACGTACAATCAGCCTCTAGATTAGAGGGAGGAGAAAAGGGAATGCCAGTCATCTAGGTGACTGTTACCCATTTTGCTTAGTTGAGCATCACGGAAAGAAACAAGCTTAGGCACAAACTGGCTGACTTGAGAAAGATAGGAAAGCATCTATAGAGGGTCCACAAGCACAGGCCTCCCCCCAGGAGTAAGATGTGGGGCTAAATGTGTTCTGAGCAGCAAAGGCCCAAGAAGACTCCTCAAGACCAAGCTGTACACATGGATGAGATCACAGTTCTCCCACCCACACCATGCCTACTGCATTACATTATGCATCAAGATACCCTGAGCATGGAGAGACACGGCATGAGAAAGCAAAGGTGTGAAGCAAGCTGGAGGGTCATGGCTAGGAAAGAACTTTGGGTATAGTTACTGGCACATGGACCTGCCAGAGGCAAATAGTTCAGAAGCTACAAGAATTGGGGAGAAATTGCATTCCCCAAATAACAAGAGTCTAACATAGAGTCAGTAACTGTCAAAACGACCTCAGGCCTCCAAATTTCCATAAGCAAGCTGTGGGATCTTACAGCCCTGGTGCCCCAAATCTCCCTATCTAGTCTATTTTCTGTTGCATATAATAGAACACCTAAAACTGGATAATTTATTATGTTAATAACAGAATTTATTTCTAGTTATGAAAGCTGTGAAGTCCAAGGTCAAGGGTCCGTGTCTGGTGAGGACCTTCTTGCTGGCAGGACTCTCTGAAGAGTCCTTGGTGGCACAGGCAGCACAAGACATCCATGGTGAGGGCTGAGCATGGTAACATGCCAGCTCAGGTCTCTCTCCCTCCTGTTAGAAAGCCACCAGTCCCACTCCCATGATAACCCACTAATCCATTCACCCATTAATTCAACAGTGGATTAATCCATTCATGAGGGCAGAGTCCTCATGGTCCAAGCACCTCTTAAAGGCCCCATCTCTCAAAACTGCCACATTGGGGATTAAGTTTCAAAGTGAGTTTTGGAGGGAACAAATACTCAAACCATAGCACTCCCCAAGGCCCCAGCCAGATGTGTCCATGGAGAACAAAGGACAAGGATGAGCCTCCCAGGAGCGGAACAAAGAGGCCCAAAGGACAACTGACCAGTTCTTCCTGCCCCCACTCCTAGGGTAGGGGATCACAATGGATCAGGACAAAAACAAAGCTGTGCCACAATCTCTCTCCCCACCAATGTGAAAGACAACTGCTTCTTTACCAATCACAGATTTAGTCTCACTCTAGTCCATCTTCCCTACAAATAAGATCTAATGAAATACCTGATCATAAAATTGTCCCAACTTACTTATAGCACCCCACTTTCCTGGACCCTCCCCCCAATCACCTGACCAAAGCCCAAATCCTGTTAACAAGATCTTTCAAACACCCTCTTACCACAACACCCCTGTTACCTATGGTGTATGGTACCAACTGTTCCATCACAGGTGCTAGGTGAGTTCCTAGTGGCCTTTCTTAGAAGATACTGATAGATGCCTTCATAGTACCTGCCCATGGGATGTCACTCTTGCTTTGGACCAAGGACCGATGTTTATCTTCCTTTCTTCCTCTTCCAAAATGGACATTTTTAAAATTACAATTGTCCTAGCTCAGCCCCACTGTTGTGTAGTGTGAGCAGGAGATGACCCGTGTGTCAGTTCAGTCAGCAAACCACAAGAGGCACAAGTGGATTTGATTAAGACTGTACAACACTGGAAATCCTTCCTTTGTGCAAGATGCAGAACTAGAAGCAACCCCAGATTATGTCCCTGAGAGATGAGTGCATGATGGCTGTGGAAGACAGGTATGCCAAGGGAACAGACTGAAGCAGAGACAACAGTCCACAAAGAGCCACACTCCCCTTTCCCAGGACGGTCTCACAGCTGGGGAGCAACTGCCAGCCAGGAGCAACACCTTACAGATTTCACACTTGCATCTAGGCAGGGCGCTGTGACTAGATCTCACCAGTGGAATGTATGTGGTCCTGGTCCATGCCACTTCCAAACCAACCTAACTGAGAAGTATGTGTGCCTCCTCTGTGGACATGCCCCCATCTCCCAGTGGCACAGAAAGGAAGCTGGACCTAGAGGACACCACTCACCCAGCAGACGGCAGGACCACACTGCAAGGAGCTGGGCCAGCTCACCACACAGAGGAAAGCTGATTATTGACCAGGAACATCCACGGCACATTGTGACATGAATAATAAGTAAATTTTACTATATAAGGCCCTGAAATTTGGGGTTTTTGGATTATTACCCTAAATAATCCAAAAACTGGCATCAAGAAATACAGAGTGAAAGTACGAATCAGATGCTGAAACCAGCCCTCAATTGGCACCAGGAACACAAAGAGTCAAACCCTACAGTCAGAGAAGTCCTGAGAAGCTAGCCCCTGCGGTGTGGCTTCATTCTGTTCCTCTGGCTGGCCTCAGGTCTACACTGGGATTAAGGTGGCTCCTTTAAGAATAAAAAGCCTTAGAAGTACCTGATGAAAACCTCTCCAAAAATAATCATCATCCCAGGTCTCAAATTATTCCTCAAAATAATTCTGCAAATACAAATGTCTAGCATACACAAAGAAGTTAGTGACACACTGAGGAAGAAACAGCAGAAATCACAGAACAGAAAACATCCACAAAGACACAAGAAGTTAGAATTACCCAATATAGACTATCAAAAATCCTGCAATTATAACAAAAACATGAACAACCCAATTAAAAATTATGCAAAAGACTTCAATAGACATTTCTCTTGACAAGATATATACTTAACATTACTAATCATCAGAGAAATACAAATCAAAACCTCAGTGAGATACTTCCTCACACCCATTAGGATAGCTATTATCAAAAAAAAAGAAAGAAAGAAAATAACAAGTGTTGACAAGGATGTAGAAAAATTGGAACCCTTATGCACTGCTGGTGGGAAGGTAAAATGGTGGAGCTACTGTGGAAACGCCATGGTAGTTTCTCAAAAAGTTAAAGAATTAGCATATAATCTAGCAATTCCACTTCTGGGTATATGCACAAATGAAGTGAAAGCAAAGACTTAGATTTTGTACACTCATGTTCCTATTAGAATTATACACTACAGCCAAAAGTAAGAAGCAATCCAGTGTCCCACCAAAGAAGGAATGGATAAACATAACCCTTTACACACATACAATGGAGTATCATTCAGCCTTAAATATCAGCCTTAAAAAGGAAAGAAATTCTGACACATGCTACAACGTGGATAAATCTTGAAGACATTATAGTAAGTGAGATAACCAGTCAAAAAAGAAAAAATATTGTATGATTCCACTGATATGAGGTACCTATAGTAGTCAAATTCATAGAGACAGAAAATAGAATGGTAGTTGCCAGGAGTTTGGGAAAAGAAGTTATTGTTCAATGGATACAGAGTTTCAGTTTTACAAGACAAAGTCCTGAAGATGGATGGTTGCAGGACAACATGAATGTACCTAATGTCACAGAACATCCTTTAAAAATGTACATTTAAAATAGTAAATTTCATGTTATATATGTTGGTCTATAATTTTAAAAAAAACTATACTTGCTATGGTTAAAAACATAAACAAGAAATTAGAAGTTATAAAAAGTAACATAGTTTAATTTCCTTAAATCCAAAACCAAAAAGCAAAATAGTCAAGCAAAATAGTCATGGATTTTAAAACAAATTGAGAGTTGCTGAAGAAAGAATTGGTAAACTGGAAATGAGGTCAAAAATAAATATTCAAATTAAAGATAGGAGGCCAAAATCTTATGAGAATTTGCAGTGAGAAATCTAATACACATTTAACTCAAGCCCCAAAAGGAAAGAAGAGAGAAGACAATACAGAAGCAATGACTGAGAATAATGGCAGTGAACTTTCCAGATCTGAGAAAGACATTATGCCATAGACACAAGAAGCGAACATACCTCAAGCAGGGATGTGTAGAACTTAGTGAAACTAAAGAAACCTAAGGGTAATAAGAAAATCCTTTAAAAACAATAGTAGACACACAGATTACCTCCAGAGGTAGCAGTTACACTGACTACTGACTTCTGAACAGGAACAAGAAAAGCCAGATGCTGTGGAAATATATCTCCAATGTGCTGCAAAAAAATAATACCAGTATTAAATTCAATATACAGGAAAAAAACTTTTAAGAATAAATGTGAGGGCATGATGTCAGTGAAAACAGCAAAGTAAGAGCCTCTAAAAATCCCCTCATAAAAGCAATTAAAATGGCAGAATTATCAAAATCAACTTTTTTGGAAATTTAAAAATTTAACCAAAGGCTTGTCACAATCTAGGGAGCATTTGTAAAGATAATGCTTGAAGAGTCTAAGAATTAAAAATTTGTGGTGTTTTAACTTGCCCTGTTTCCAATTATCCCCACCCCTATCCTAACTCTACAGTAATCTTGAAAACCAACAGACTGAAATTACAGTGTAAAAAAGCCACCCAGAAGCCACAAAAGGGCCTCCACAGAACAGGGCTGAAATTCCTTCAAAGCCTTATTAGTTGACACGGCTAATGGGTTCCACTGGCCAAAGTTTTCTTTATTTGATCTGACTCATAGCTCACTGAAAAGTATTTTCCTCAAATGTGTCTATCAAAATAGTTAGAGGAAACTATTTAATTTTGTGACTATTTGAGACCATGAACAACAGCTGGAGCAAATAATATATTAACCCAAAAGCTTAAAAGGAAAAGCTAGAGAATGAGATGCCCATAGAGTATTTGAAAACTCTGATATATTCCTGGAAATCTAGAAGGCCACATACACAGATAGAGCTGTGTACCTACTCAAGGCTGTATGAATGCCCAGGTAAGAAGTCAGAATGCCCTGAGACAGTCCTCAGCCCTCACATTGGGCTGATTTTGAGACTTTGTGCAATCAGGAAGTGAAGACTAAGGCAGAGCTGTAAACTGCCAAGTTAATGGTTGACGCATGTTCCAACACATACACAGAGCCCTGTGGGAAAGACTTACTCATTCCAGGCATTTAAAGAAATCTCTGCCCGATTATTAGCTGAGTACTAAACTAGCCAAGCAGAAACTTCAGTGGAGAAACATGACAAAGAATAGACCTTACAGAGTTATTTCAGAAAAGTCACTAAGTAAACAGAAATCACTACAACAAGTACCACCACCACCAACAACAACAAATCCAGGGAAGAGAGGAAAATCAGATTCCTAGAATTCTCACATTACATTATTTAAAATGTATGGTTTTCAAAGAAATCATTATGACACACACAAAGAAACAGGAGAGTATGGCCTATACATAGGGGACAAAAGGCAACCAATAGAAATCGTCCCTGAGGGAAGCCCCAATGTTGGACTTACTCGATGAAGACTTTAAGTGGCCTATTTTAAATATGTTTGAAAAATTAAAGGAAACCATGTCTAACGGATTAGAGAAAAGAATGACAATGGTGTCTCACCAAACAGACATCAATAAAGAAACAGAAATTATAAAAAAGGAACCTAATAAAAAGTTGGGAGTTAAAAAGCACAATAATTGAAATAGCAGATTCATGAGAGGGGCTCACTAGTGTATTTGAGCAGGCAGAAGAATCAGTGAGCTTGAAGATAGATCAACTGAGATTATCTGGCCTAAGGAACAGAAAGTAAAAAGAAGAAAGAAAACTGAACAGAGCCTCAGAGACTTGTGGGAAACCATCAAGAATACCAACATATGCATAATGAAATTCTCAAAAGGAAAGAAAAGAGATAAAGAGGTACAAAGAATATTTGAAGACATAATGCATAACAGTCAATACCTCACAGATTTAATGAAAAACACTACGTATCCAAGAACCTCAAAACTCCAAGATTAATCTCAAAGATATCCACACCTAAACATATAATCAAACTATTCAAAGACAAAGAGAATGTTGAAAGCGGCAAGAAAGCAACTCATAATGTAAAAGGGATTCTCAATAAATAAGGGTAATAGCTAATTTCTCATCAGAAACCATGGAGACTATTTAATAGAAGGCTATAAGATGACATACTGAAAATCACAAAAGCTGTCAAACAAGAGTTCTATATCCAGCAAAATTATCCTTCAAAAACAAAGGAGAAATTAATAAGACATTCTCGGATAACAAAAACCGAGAGAATATGTGACTGGAAAACCTGCCCTACAAGAAATACTAAAAGGAATCCTTCAGGCTAAAATAAAAGGATACTGCACAGTACCTCAAATCCAGGTGAAGAAATAAAGAGCAACAGCAAAATTTATTTAATCATAAATGCAAATTATAAAAGATAATATAAATGCAATTTTTCTTTGCAACCTTTTTCTCTTATCTGACTTAAAAGATAATTGCAAAATTCAGTAAGATTATAAATCTGTGTTGAAGCACACAGAATGTATAAGGAGGTACAGTAACAGCACAAAGGAAAAGGGAGGAAATGAAGATATATGGAAGCAAAGTGTTTGCATAGTACTGAAATTAACTGGTACTAATCCAAACTAACTGACAACTGTTTTAAGTTGTCAACAGTAAGGCCCAGACAGTCCCTAAGAAAATAATCAACAAAAAATAATAAAAGAAATTATAAGGGAATTGAAACAGCACATTAAAAAATATATATTTAACACAAAATCAGTAATAGAGTGATAGAAAACAAAAAAGACACTGAATGGAGAAAACAAGTAGCAAAATAGCTGGCATAAATCCCACCTTATGAGAACTGTATACATATAAATGGATTAAACATTCCAATTTAAAGGCAGAAATTATCTAAATGGCCTTTTTATAAAGTATCCAATTATATGCAGTATATAAGAGACACACTTAATATATATTTTGGGGGGAGTGAAGGATGAGACACACCCAAATTCAAAGACATATATAGTTGAAAGCAGGGAAAATATACATAATATGAACAATAACCAAAGGAGATCTTGAGTGGCTATGCTAACATCAGACAAAATGGTCTTTAAGTCAAAAATTGTTATCAGAGACAAAGAATATTTCATAATGATAAAAAGGCCAATTCATCAAGAAGATATAACAATTATATACATATGTGTCATACATACATACATACATACATATATATATGTCTAAAAATACCCACAGAATACAAAAGAAACAAAAAGTTAACAGACATGAAGGGAGAATTACACATTTCAACAGTAATAGTTGGAGATTTCAATACTCCATTTTCAATTCTGGATGCAACACAAGAAAGAAGACCAACAAGGATTAACCAGTTAGACCTTATAGACATTTACAGAATGATTCATGCAAAAAACAGAAACTATATTATTCTCAAGTACACATGAAACATTCACCAGGATGGACCAGATGTTAGGCCAGAAAACAAGCTTCAAAATTTAAAAGATTGAAATCATACAAAATATGTTCTCCAACCACAAAGGAAAGACATTATAAATCAGTAACAGATAGAAATTTAAGAACTTCACAAGTTTGTGGACATTAAACAACACACTTATAAATAACCAAAGAGTCAAAGAAGAAATCATAACAGAAATTATAAAATACTTTCAGATAATTGATAATGAAAACACAACATACCAAAACTTAGGAAAGGTAGTAAAGGCAGTTTTTAGAAAGTTATAGCTATAAATACCTATGTTAGAAAAAAAAATCTCAAATTAATAACATAACCTTCCACTCAAGAAATTGGAAAAGAACCAACTAAACCCAAAGCAAGCAGAAGAAGAAGAGAACAAAGATCGGAGCAAAAATAAATGAAATATAAAACAGAAAAAAAAAATGAAACAAAAACTGGTTTTTTGAAAAGACCAACAAAATTGACAAACCTGTATCTAGGTTGAAAAAAAAAGAAAACACTCAATTCACTAAATTCAGAAATGAAACTACTGACCTTACAGAAATAAAATAATGATTAAAAAAAATACTATGAACAATTATTTGCCAACAAATTCAGTAGCCTAGGTGAAATAGACAAATTCCTAGAAAGACACAAAGTATTGAAACTAATTCAAGAAAAAATAGTAAATCTGAATAAACCTAAAACAAAAGTAAAAAAAAATTGAGTCAGTATTCGACAATCTTCCCACAAGGAAAAGTCTAGGAGATGGCTTCGGTATTGAATTCTACCAAATGTTTAAAGAAGAATTAACGCCTACCCTTCACAAAGAGAAAAGGACACTTCCCAACTCATTCTGTAAGGCCAGTATTATTACCCTAATACCAAAAGCAGACAAAGATATCACAAGAAAAGAAAACTACAGATTAACGTGCTTTAAGAACGCAGACATAAAAATCCTCAACATCCCCCTTTTAAAAGCACTCAGGAGTCCTTTTGCCAATGGCCCATTGAGCCATCAAGAAAGTCACTTTTAGGCCGGGCGCTGTGGCTCACGCCTGTAATCCTAGCTCTTGGGAGGCCGAGGCGGGCGGATTGCTCAAGGTCAGGAGTTCAAAACCAGCCTGAGCAAGAGCGAGACCCCGTCTCTACTATAAACAGAAAGAAATTAATTGGCCAACTGATATAGATATAAAAAAAATTAGCCGGGCATAGTGGCGCATGCCTGTAGTCCCAGCTACTCGGGAGGCTGAGACAGCAGGATTGCTTGAGCCCAGGAGTTTGAGGTTGCTGTGAGCTAGGCTGACGCCACGGCACTCACTCTAGCCTGG